ACAAACTTCAGATGAGTTAGCTGTTGGAATATAGGTAAGATTTCTTTCCAACTGGTGAGGTTGTTACCAGAAATATCCAAGTCAATGACATTAGGACAGAGTGAGGCCAGACCTTCTCTTGGTATACCAGCATACGTCAAGTTAGAGTTGCATAATACCTGTCAGAGAAAAAAAAAGTTTCATTAATTTATTCATGGGTCACTTTAGTCATTTTTATTACGTTCCATTTTTTTTCTATGGGTCACTTTTATCATTTTCATTGCGTTCCATTTTTTTTCTATGGGTCACTTTGGTCTTTTATCATTTTCATTGCGTTCCATTTTTTTTCTATGGGTCACTTTTATCATTTTCATTGTGTTCCATTTTTTTTCTATGGGTCACTTTAGTCATTTTCACTGTGTTTCATTTTTTTCTATGGGTCACTTTTATCATTTTCATTGTGTTGCATTTTTTTTTCTTTGGGGTCACTTTTATCATTTCATTGTGTTTCATTTTTTTTCTTTGGGTCACTTTTATCATTTCATTGTGTTTCATTTTTTTTGTATGGGTTACTTCAGTCATCTCATTGTGTTAGGGTTATACAGGAATAGAATTCATATAAAAAGCACAGGCCTAGGTCCTGAAGTTAGAACTATATATTTTTAAGTGCTGATAGTGAATTGTTTATCATTTTTTTTTATGAGTGACATAAATCATTTTGGATTGACCTCAACTGAAAGCTTTGACACTTTGGTTTGAACTCAACTGGAAGCTTTGACACTTTGATTTGACTTCAACTGAAAGCTTTGACACTTTAATTTGACTTCAACTGAAAGCTTTGACACTTTAATTTGACCTCAACTGAAAGCTTTGACACTTTGGTTTGAACTCAATTGAAAGCTTTGACACTTTGATTTGACTTCAACTGAAAGCTTTGACACTTTAATTTGACTTCAACTGAAAGCGTTGACACTTTAATTGGACTTCAACTGAAAGCGTTGACACTTTGATTTGACTTTAACTGAAAGCTTTGACACTTTAATTGGACTTCAACTGAAAGCGTTGACACTTTGATTTGACTTTAACTGAAAGCTTTGGCACTTTAGTTTGACATCAACAGGAAGCTTTGACTCTTTGATTTGACCTCAACTAAAAGCTTTGACACTTTATTTTGACATCAACTGAAAGTTTTGACACTTTATTTTGACCTCAACTAAAAGCTTTGACACTTTGATTTGAACTCAACTGAAAGCTTTGACACTTTGATTAGACTTCAACTGAAAGCGTTGACACTTTGATTTGACTTCAACTGAAAGTTTTGACACTTTATTTTGACCTCAACTAAAAGCTTTGACACTTTGATTTGAACTCAACTGAAAGCGTTGACACTTTGATTTGACTTCAACTGAAAGCGTTGACACTTTGATTTGACTTCAACTGAAAGTTTTGACCTCAACTGAAAGCTGACACTTTGATTTGACCTCACTTTGACTTTTGCACGTCAATTATTTGAATTTACATGCAATTTCATTCAAAAAAAATTTGCAGTGACCTGTAACATAATGGGTCAAAAAACTTCCCATGTATAAAAATTAGAACAAATTCGTCTTGCGCTTACGGTTTTTTAAGACACATACCACATTTCTCAAATGGGCCAATTCAGCCTTCGCACCACCAGTTCCTGCTTTTCCATGGAAAGTTATCTGACAAGATCCGAATGTGTAGTCAGAACCGTCAAAACAATATTTTTCACGCACAGCTTCGGTGAAGGATTGAGTTGAATCATTTTCTTCGTCGTTTTGGTCTTCATTTTCCGTTTTGTTTTCGTCTTTTTCTCGGTGTAAATCCGACATTTTTTCGATGTCAACCGCCTCAAATGATTTCTCTGAATGCTTTGATTAGTTTTAGCTCCACATGAACGTTCAAAATGTCGTCTGCATTAGTTAAAGTTTATTTTTAGAATGATTACGAAATTCTTTGTCACTTTTGGCAGCCATGTTTGTTTACATGCAAGGTGATGAACCATATGGCGTCCATTTGAAAAAATAATTACTAAAATAATTTTGAAAGAATTAATTTGAGGAAAATGAATGAATAATTTCATAATTTGGCTTATTTTCTTCCCCAATATTTTTTTAATTTCAAATTTAAATTTTTGACAGACTGCAATTTTTTCTACACGGTGCATCATTTGAGAAGACTTTTGTCCAATCAGAATACAGGAAATTCTCAACTCCGCGAAAGTGGTGTGTACAACTTCCCGTTTGACGTCATCATTATAGTCAATTATCCAGACACAATTTCCAGGGGAAAAATACTGCAATCTTCTTACGTCTTGTAGATTGAGATATTCCTAATTTTCA